TCTGTCTGTTACTTTAGATGAAAACAAGGAGCCCCTCCCCACGCCACTCTGAGAGAGATTTGGTTAAAAAGAACACAATGGTGCTCTAGGAGGAGATTCAGGTGATAAGGTGGGTGGGGGCCAAAAAAAACATAATGACATCCTAAAGTGGCCAAAATCTGATCAGTTCATTTTCAGACAGGTTTTTATATAAATGGATCAAGACAAAAAGAGAGAGAATCTTTGTTCCTGAAACTTTCAGAATCTCTTTACACAGAGGGGACACATGTTGATGTATACATGACATGAAAAAGTGGATTGTGCATAATAGGTGACATTTAATTCAAAAAATGTACAGTAAGTCTAAAACGTACCGTGATGTTGAGGTCAGGTGTACGGAGCCTAAAGGTGGTCTGGTTGGCTACCACCTGCTGGGTCTCACTGACTCTTCCAGACAGGGTCAGCATCAGAGCGGCCTGATCCACCAGCTGGTTCTGGTACTGTTGGTAGGGCAGCACCCAGTCAAAGGTCTTTTCTGTGTGGAAAGGTAAGGAAAAGAGCTATGCTTCAGTATTTTACATTTTCACAATGCAAGTTATACTTTCTCTTTCATTTTAAGCTGATTGGCTTTGCACAAAGAATGGAAACAGGGGAAATAGCAAGCCTGCCTCTGGCCAAAGGTTAAGAAAAAGTTCCTCTCCTGACACCTTCAAAGCTCACTGATGAACTTGTTCCTTTGTTAAATCCACAGTCGCTTATTATTATAGCTCCCCTGGCCGTTCCTGTGCTTTCAACTGCATTAAAGCGAGACCACTGTATTCACACTTTCTACATATACAAATGAAAAGTCATGAGCAATACAAAATCCCTTAGCTCAATTCAATATTCTAAGCGTTTTTTCTCAGTGTATATAATGCTTTAACACACACTGAGCTGACTTTTTAAGTTGATATTGCAAAGGTAGCACACGTAAAACAGCATCAACCACTCTCCTTTTGGCTGTGTCTTTGTCTCCACCCACTCCTGAGAGAATAATCAACTGCTTTGTCTGCCTTCTGGCTGTCAAAAGGTACTGTGTACAGTCGTTTTTTAGAGTGTTGTTTTGCTGAAAATAGCTGCCCGCTGCTGATGAGAGCAGTAACACTAAATCAAAACAGTTAAGAAGTGTGCCTACTAACCAAAACAATGACTCTAAACACTGAAGAGATGAGTAGATCTGCATAGTTAAATTATAAGATTGTGACTGAGCGACCTCTTTCATACATGTAGCCATTGTTAGTATAAGAATGTTGACTACAGCAGCTTTGTGGGAGGGCCATACCTTCATTGGGAAGGAGCTCCACAGGTATCTGCTCCTTCCTAATGGTGCCCTTCAGCACACCGGTGTAGTACATGACGGCCACCTGGCTATGCAGAGTGGTGCGGCGAGATTGCGAGCTCAGGTTCTTCACCACGATGCTCAGCTTGGCGTCAGCACCCATCCTGGGCCCTTCACCCTCCATCTTCACCTCCACGAACACATCCTGTGCAAGGGCCGTGGAGTAAGTATCTGGCTTGCTGCCAAAACGACTGGCAGTCTCCACAGCAATCCGTTCCTCTTCCGAACCTGGTACAGAGGGAGGAGAATGTGAGTGCACGTGATTTTGTCTGATGTTTTAGGATTTATTTGCAGTTATTACAAACATAACGCTTACAGTTGAGCAAACAGATACATACACATTTTAATAATATGAGCAGGTAAAGAGATAAGACAAATGTGATCTATGCAGCAGAGATAGTATTAAATCCTTACATATTAGGATAGTTCAAGGAAATTATCTCGAGTACCTTCTTGATATTTATACAGGTGTGTGATGTCTGCCCGCTCATCAGAGCCAACTGCTTTAGTACTGATGTGGTGGCCAACAGCTTTCTTCTCGCAGTGGATCTGCGTGAAACCGGCGTCCGGGTTTCTTTGCCAGAAGATCTTATCACTGTTGACCTGATAGACAAGTACATGAGACATTAATACTGAAGATGGAGTTCAACCAAGGTATTGCATCAACATGAATCTAGAATCAACTTTGGGCACTTGCCAATTTCTAGCACTCACCTCAGCGAAGACAAATGGCGTGTCATGTTTGAGGTAGACCTGGCCAGATCGGATGGCGTTATGGGAGGCAGGCCCGCAGCGGAAGGTGCCCTGGCTCGTCTCCTGGGGGGTCGAGTCAATAGCCTGCCAGCCTCCATGACCGGGGGGCAGGTCTTGTCTCGCCATCCAGCAGTCATTCCATACATGAAAGTTCCTAGATGGTTAAAAAAGTATGTTTATTAAGTTATTCTTGGATAAAAACCAGGCTAGCTTAACTAGCTAGCTAACTGTCGCCTAGCTTAGCCTAATTTTTAACAAACAAAGTGAAAAGCGGTATCAATCTTTGTGTCTAATTCTCAATAAGAAAACGAGGCATCTTAAAGAGCAACTTGCAGGGTTTTATTTTTACTACATTTATGCTTAACCTTGCCTGAAAATTAGAATTAAAAAAGTTAATGCAGGATTTCATATGTTTTACGAGACAATAAGGGCAGGAATTCAGAGGGTAAAGGAGCCATTTTTTTTACGTCATACTATATTACGTCACATGGGGGAGCAACTTTCTCGGACTCCTTGGGTGTTTCTCGATATCGAGGACACTTGCTTGGTAGCACATGTCTTCCGAGCAGAGGTCGCGTTAACTGAATATTTTCCGCTATGACGGATATTTTTTAACAATAGACGGAAAAATCTGAAAGCAGTCCGTCATTTTGACGGNAAACAACGTCAAACGCGTCATATTACGTCACATAGGGGAGCAACTTTCTCGGACTCCTCTGCCCAATCAACCCAGTCCCACAGCATTTCATGTTATAGTCACGAAATTAATTTAATCTCTTGATTCGTGTTCACCAACACGATTTTCGCATTTTTTTCGTGTCACACAGAACGATTTTAAAAGCAATGTATTTCTATTGGTAGTATGTTTCGTGCCTGCACCNCTTGGAAGACCGGAAGCTGTGAGGTTCATAAAAACCTTTTCTTACTCAATATCTTACCCTAAGCCTAACCCTATCCCTTTTATTTTAAATTGTATGATGTCGGAGTTTTTTCGCCGTCCGCGAGGAAAATAAATGGGGCTCAGAGCTTCAGAATACTGAAATCTGTATTTCTTGTTTTCCTTCTAATTTGTTATTATTTGGTGCAGACACGAAACATACTACCAATAGAAATACATTGCTTCTAAAATCATTCTGTCAGAATACTCAAATCTCTATTTTTTTGTATCTGTTTTTCCTTCTAATTTGTTATTATTTACAATGCTTTTAAAATCGTTCTGTGTGACACGAAAAAAAAACATTTTAATTTTTTTGACATGCAAAATTATCTTTTAAATTGACAAACATCATATGTGTAATTCGTGGCACAATTGAAACGGGATCGAAAAGATAATCTTTCTCTCTCCATTGACTTCAATACATAATTTTTCCAAAATAAGGTCCCATGGAGCTCCCCCGAAAGGGGAGGGACTTCGCCACTCTATGGTGAAACAACAGATGGCACAAATATTTCTAGAGTTATTTTTAAAAACAGTACTACCACATAGCAGATAGATACCAGATTAGCATCCGAGTTGTAAATAATTGAACAAGCTTTACGTCTCTGAGGTTTCAAATTATAATGGACTGCTTTTGAAGGACATCTAAATATAAGGCGCATTCCTAAGGTTTGGATTTAGCAGCAGGGTGCCCTGTCCTGGTAAAGTTACATATCTTACCACACAGAGTCACTATTGAGGTAGTCGATTGGCTCCATATCCTCATCTAAATACACATCTGTGGTGAGGGATACATCAGTGTCATGAGCAGACTGGAAGTTGGTCACGCTGCGGGCGGGTATGCCAAGACACCGAAGAACTGGCAACAAAGACAGACAGAGAAAGATTTGTTAGAACTCAATTCAGAAGTTTGTTAATAATTGTATGTTGTTGTTTGTTGGCAGATGCTAAAACTTGAGCATAATGACTTTTCTACCATGATGACCCTTGCATGCATGGGGGCATGGAACTTGTTTAATGATGGCTGACTGAAAGCAACACATGTGGGTCTATTGGGGACAAAAGTGGTACGTATGATAGGAATGCCTAAAAGTATTTATATGAGTGTGTGTACATGAGCTATGGCTTGCTATCAGGTGCTAAGGTCAGCTAGCTACCATGTGAGGGCTCCTGCATGCATGTACAATGAATGAAGTGTTCTGTTACAGAGCAGTGAGAGCTAATGAAAAGGGACTGATAGACAGGGAGCCCCTCATCATGACTGTTTATCAAATTTACGTGAACACTGGGAACTTTATGGCCTGCACACAAACAACACATAGAGGAGTCTCTTGTCACACCTCTGTGTCAGAAAGTATAGCTTTTCTCTTGACGAGCTCAACCTGTCTCCATAAACACACAATGTTTCTTCACACTGCATCACATGCTCTGTAATTCTTGATATACCAACCCGTTGTAGTGATCCCAGAGAAGACCCAACACTGTCCGTAAGACACGGGCGTTCCGTTGGAGGAGTGGTACTTTCTCAGAATCTCCACGCTGCTGCTCCATGCAGAAGGAGAGACTCCATCAGAGTAATCCCCAGACCAGTTCCCCACCAGGACCCCAAAGTCATCCTGAGCATTTATCTAAAAACAAAAATAGGGACACTGTGAATTACAAATGAATCCTCTCATGTTTACATTAAAATGCTAATTATCCAAGCAGAACACAACCGTTGCTAGCTATGAGAACATTTGGGGTCATGTCCTCTTCATCGTTTCCTGAATGTTTTTTTTAATAATCTTTATGTTGGCTACAATGTATGATTGGAAACACATGGCAAACTGTTTTAATGAACATATGGAAATTCGACTACTTTTAGGCCAAAAATAAAGCATTTAGTATTGTCCCACCACAATTGTATTCCCGGCTTTGAAACGGCAACATTCACAGAGATACATTTAAAAGTTAACTAAATATATTCAAGGACTTGGACTCATGAGCCCCATATTTCTAATATCCTGAGATAGTGGAATGTTGATAAATCAAAACTCACCATGGCAGATAGGACTCTAACCACATTGACAGCATCCCCTCGACCAGATGGAGGCATGTCACTCTTCTCCAGGATAAACATACATGCTTCCAGAACTCCCTCATGAAACTACAGCCAAAACAAACAAAAACACAGATCCTGAGCAACAGACAGCAGGTCACTCGAATGGGTATTCAATTATATTATTGGGGAACAAATTGAAGACGTGTCCTTTAAAACATTGATAGCAATAACTACACCAACTGAGAAATAAAACACAGATAGGAGAAGAATTTGTGGTAGAAGAAACTTAAAGCATGTGCAACTGATAATAAATAAAGCCAAAACAATGTGCTGCTGGATATACTCACTAGTGTATATGTGTAATAATCCACACATAAAAATAGTCCCAAGATAACCCTGTTTATATCTTGTATTACATTTTAAATAAACAAAAATGGTTAGTATTTTTAAAGAATAAAACTACAGTATATATTTTGACCATGTTTTAAAGATGTATATTTCCATTAGGATCGGCCCTAGACAATGATATCATTTCCAAACATTTAGTCATTTCCAGTCCCATCTTGTCTTGATAGTCCGTACCTGCCCAAAGTTCCATGTGCGGGCCCCGATCTGTTTCTCTGTGCCATAATAAATCCTCCCGATGTCATTCAGAACATACTCCTTTCTCTCCTCCTCATCATCCAGGAACACTGCGTCCTCTGGAAAGACATGATGACATTAGATTATAGTAATCCAGTGTAATAATACTGAGAATATATAATTGAATCCAGTATCCCAAGCTTTAAACGGTTAAGTTTGAAAACTAAAGTTGATCCTATTAAACCAGCTTCAACAGGAAATAAGAGGCACTTTAATGTTAAACTATAATTATATTTAATGATTAGACTCAATGTTAATATGTTTGCCATCCTCTGTCTGTGAAAAGGAGCCACTATCCATGTTTTAATCACCTCTTCAGTGACTAAACCACTCAGGAATGTGATTCATTTTCACAAACTGTGTGAAAGGTTCCCCAACACCAGGAAATGATGAGGAAACACAATGACTCAATGGACCTTGCAGTGGGGCCCATGTTCATCTATGGGAAGCGGCCTGTTTTGAGTGACATCAGCCCTACAGACTCTGGCATTTAATGTTGGAACCGTGAGTGGGTTAGAGGAATTTGATGTAAGGAAAGAAAGGAAAAACACTGTTGAAGATGGACATGAGAAAAAATCAAGTGGAAGGAAGAGGTTTAACAAAGTCATGAGGGACGAATAAGAGAAAGAGGGGAAGTTGTTCTTGGGAGTGAAAGGGGGGAGGGGGCGTGAGTGGGGCGTGAAGCGTAACAGAGTCTCTTGAGATTTTACAGGAGAAAGTAGAGGCTGAGGCTGACAGCATCTGGCAGCAGTGATGATTGTGTTTTTCACTTCCTCCTGAATTTTGGGAGTGCAATGTAGGGAGAAACAGACTCACAAACGGGAGGATATGGAGGAGGAGGAGGAGGAAGAGGAGGAGGAGGAGGAGGAGGAGGAGGAGGAGGAGGACAGAAAACAGAAAACAGAGCAGTGCAGTGAGGATCAGGTCAACAGATAGCAAGCAGAGAGCAGGACTGGGTCTGGGTGGGAAAGGCATTTAAAGCCAGGAAGTGCACAAGGAGGCAGTAAAAGCGAGGGTGAGGACAGGTTGTCACCAGCTGCAGGATTACTGTGAGCTTGCCCCATGGCGATTTTGAATTTTATGAGCGTGAGGAAGTGATTGGTCTCGCGAAGAAGAGATTGAAAGAGGGAAGAAGAGATTGGGCTTTCGGGCCAAAAGCAGCAACAGTGTAATGAAAGACAGACCGTATATATATATTTTTTTATCAAATCCAGTTCAAACTCTTTTTATTTTTCTGTGTTGCAAATATATTTATTTTGGTCAAATATCCTGTGCGGATAGTTTGCAATGCTCAGCAAACTGAACTCAGCCAGATAAACAATGGAACTTATTTCCTAAGCCTTTATTAACTGAATAAGAGAATAATAAGTATGCTTATATTTTAAAATAAGACCTTTTTTGTTTTAAATACAAACAGAAAAACCAGTCAGCAACCCAAGGGTCCTTAAAAGTTGGTCAATGCTTAAGTGCCTTAAATATGCTTCCTCTCTATCAGCTAGCAGGGGGGACTCCACTTGTTACACAAAGAAGTCAGATTGTATAGAAGTCTATGAGAAAATGACAATAGTTATCACTTGATTTATCAACTCAGTTAGCATTTCCTTAATGAGTTTGTCCTCTCAATCATTAGTTTAAGTCTTCTGTAATACAGCATGGTGATCATTTTTTTAAATTGTGGTCTCATTTGGAGTAAAACAGATGATAAAGAACAGTTTTCTTTTGTGATTGGTTACTTTGTGATAAGGCTTCACTACAAGGGCGTAGTCCTGTTTGAGTGTTTCCTTCCTAAATCTTACTTACACTTTCACAGTCTTCAGCATTCCTCCACTCGTGTCACTTCTGCTTTCTCATCAGTTTCTTATTACAGTTTGTTTTTGCTTTTATCTATTTAAAAAAAACAATATTCATGATATTAAAGTGTTTAAAAGTGTTTGATTTATGCATAAACAAAGGTTAAATATCATGTCTTTATGTATAAACATTTCATAAGATGGTCTGTTTTCTTCCTACACAAAATCTGCTTGGGTCCCATACTTAAGAGTGCTTGTGATTCAAGTGCTAGCATTTTTGAATCAAAGCCAGTGACCTTATATAACTCTCATAGTTACACAGCTGTAGCTTTTTGATGGACAGCAACACACTCATGGGTTGAGTTAGCCTTCCTCGCCCATGTGTTAAATTATATCAGGTCTCCCCTCAAAGCTTAAAACTGTGCCAGCACCTGCTATCAGAATGTTAAGGCTATTCATAATGCATCAGCTATATTCTGGGAGAACTGGTAGTAGGGCTGTATTAGACAGTTCGCCTGCAAGTAAAATATTGACTTTTTTAATATAACAGTCAAGCCAGATATAAATTGATACAAGACTTTTTATGTAATTCTGTCTGTCTTTCCTTCCTTGCTGCCCTGAATTTGTGTTTCACCCTCGGCCATGTGTGCACCCACCACTGCCAATCTTACCTTCACACCAAGGGTTGAAGAGCATGACGATGTTCTTGTCGGAGTTGTGAGTATTTGCCGCCACGCATTTCGAAGTGCTGGTTGTCACCGTGAGCCCATACAGGCCAATCACAGCGCTGGCTGGAGAGTTGACGGACAGCTTGATCTTGTTGCCGTTCTGCTCTACAATCTTGGCCTCCCAGCGTTCATCCTCCAGGTGATCCACCAGTGGGATGATGACATGGGTGCCTTTGGACACCAGGGGCAGGGGACCTAAAGCACACAGGTATTATTTGAGTCATGTTGTACCAGCATTCCAAAGAGTAAGAAATAAAAGGAAAACTTTTTCATGAACAAAAGGCCAATGTGTTACAATACTTTTGTGCTACTATTTGATAAAGTTATGTACCATATACAATAGTCTACCCAATGTAAATTGGAAACATTTTGGGGAAATACAAATGTAATTGTTAGATTGACTTTACTGTAGAGCCAGGCTAGCTGTTTCCTCGTAGTCTTATGCTAGGCTAAACTAATCTAACGGTTTTAACATTAGTTCAGATGTAAAAGATAAATGCAGCATCAATCTTCACATCTAACTCTTGGCTAGAAACCAGTATGAATATAAACCCAAAAATTAGGAGATTAAAGTTAACTACAAGCAACTGATTTGCTATGAACTATGAACTATTTGCTATGGTGTCAAACTCAAGGCCCGTGGGCCAAATCCGGCCCGCAATTTCATTTTATGTGGCCCGCAAGAGCTTGGAAAGAATATAATAAGTTTATTATTGGTTACATGTCGCCTTACAGAAGCACGTTGCTCATAAACTACATGTCCCAATCCATCTCATTTTGTGACATGTGCAGTGAAAATACTTGCAATTATTTGCCCCAGACTTCTGCTTTCAGACATAGTTAATTATGAAGTTATCCCCCTATCCGATAATAATCCAATGCAGAGGCAACAATGTAATATAATACATTACTTTATATATATTTGTATATATGTATATCAAAGTCAAAAGTCAAAGTCATATTTATTGTCAATCTTTCAGTTTGTGTGTACAGACAGGGAGATCGAAATACCGTTTCCCACAATCCAGAACTATATTTATATATGTATATTTATAAAGTCTTAAAGTTACAACCGGCCCTTTTGAGTGCAACCATAATGCTGATGTGGCCCACAAGGACATTTAGTTTGACACCCCTGCACTAGAGCTACCAGAAAAATCTAGAAGAAAATACCAAGCAAAACATATTTATTTGTTAATAAGGGAAATAAAAAAGGCATTTTAGAAACCCATTCCTGTATTGTAAATGTTATTATGTTATTGTAAATGCATGTAAATGAAAGGACTTGCAGGGCAGAAGAACACAGCTTCTGGTCAATTGTTCAGTTGTTGTTTTTTGTGCAGCTAGACTATGTGCTTTTCAATGCTTCCAATGTTCAGTTATCCTTGAAATGTTTTATGTAAATAAGGTTATAGAGCAGAAGTGGCCTTGGAAGGCTTTCATTGCCACATATAGCTGGGAAAGTAGTAAACTTGATTATTCACGTCACAGTGAGTTAGTCTGTTAGTTGTTAGTCTGTTGCCACAGTGGATGACTGGTGGTTTCTCTGAGTAAATAACATTTCTGACACTGCACATACACACACATCTCTGCACAAAGCCAAGAACATCTGTGAGTGTTTTATTAGCTTGGATTTTCCTTTTTACATGGTTTGTTGCTTGGCTAACAAACTGCTAAAACAACTTTGTGCAAACTTTCTCATGAACACAATGTTTATCTAAAGTCAATTCTAACCCATGAGCAGTATTAAGACTTCTTGGTTGCTTTCCTGTGCGCTATTTGCTTCGTGTCACCCTGCTGGGCTTTAGTTGCCATTTGCCCAAGCGAGTATAGTTTATCAAGAAACCATTGTTCTCTCGCCCACTTCAGCCTGGGCTTCCTGGGGACTTGTACAAAAGGAAATCAATGAAAAACACTCTGATTTCGACCAGATTGACCTCACCTTTGTGGAAAATTGACTCTATATCATTATGGACCATCCAAGTTGAACAAAATAACAGCTTAGGGTGAAACTACAATACAAAGCCCAGCTTTTAGTGCTGCACTTTAAACCTTTTTGCGACGAATGGCACTGTGAAAGCAAAGGTAATCGTAGCCTGTCGAATAGCTATGTGCGCCAACACTGCTATGTGATTATCTAAGCAGCAGTGACGGCAAATCGTCTCTCTGTGGTGATGTAAGGGCCATTTATTCCCATGTGTGCAGTGGATGGTTGTTGTATGAGGCCTGCTAAATATCAGAGCGAGGTGTCCGGTGTCCAGCAGACTTGAAGCTGCACTGTGGGATGGTGGGTGGAATCCAAAACTTGTGGTGCAGCTATGTTTGAACTGCTGCTCGATTTAAATGTGATATATGCTTGGAATTTTGAACAGTTCCCATGCTTTGTTTTGAGTCAGCTTCTGGGTTTCACACGGCTTACAGCAACAACTAGTTAATGGAGAGTCCCACATTTATATTATGGAAAGTAGCAATATAAGGAAGTGGATTAAAGACACATGTGAAATATTTGTTTGAGTTTGGTTAACGTTGTAATTTGATTGATTTTCTGAGTTTTGTCGTCAGAATTTATTTATAATAAATATATTTCTGAATTGGAATTATTCAGTGGACTTCAAACTCAGAGTGTTGACTATAATCTCAGAATATAAAAAAATTATTATGAACATTTATTAATTTAATAAAACTCACTAAATATAAGAACATTATTCTCATAAAAAATATAATTTCTGGCTTTTCAAGTTAATGTATGTACTCTACTATCTACATGACCCCTGAATTCTGCTGAGAGAAACCCTGTGGTTGGAAATTACTGTAGATGAATAACACACTTGGGGTTTGAATGTGAAAAAGTAGGTATTTACTAGACTGGGTGGGTCTAACAAAACCATGTGAATTAAAGTATGGGTATATTTGCATTTGCTACCTTTTTCTCTCTCTTTTAAAACAAAAGAAACTCCCTTGTGAATCCCCCAAAGAAATAAAAGTGGCCCTTGAGGTTTTTAGAATATATTGTCCGAGTTATGGTCTAATGCTTTGCTTTTCCTTTTTGTTTCACTACCAGAGTGTGTATGTAGGATCGATCTTTTCTTTTTCAGTAGAAAACCCCCCTACCCTAAAGATCATATTGATGACCTTTCTTTACCATATCAATTTGAGATTATTTTAAGGTATACGGACATGCGTACAGATACTGTCAATCTGTTCCATACCTGTTTTCAGGTCCAGGTACAGCTTGTCATTGTCAGCACTGAAGGGCCTGTTGAGGTCCATCTCTATCTGGAAGGTCTGTCCTCTGCGGATGATCATATCGTCCCCCTGAAACAGCTCAGTGTGATGCTCCTTTCTGTTCTGATCCGTCTTGGAGCTCAGCAGGTCCACAGAACACACTGACAACTTCATTTCTGAGAGAGGAGGGTCAAAATGTAAGTATGTGTCTGCATGAGTATTGACTTGTAGGGGTGATATTAGTGACATTATTACCTTCCATTTCCTTAGCCTCTCCATTCTCAACCGTCAGCTTTGCAGGCTCAGGGGTAGGGGTCGGGGTCGGGGCCGGGGGTTTGACAAATTCCACCTTATCTGTAACATCATGGGTGTTGCTCTGGCGCTTACAGCAGCATGGACACATCTTCTTGAACCAGCGGCGACAGCCTCCCTCTTCCAGTTTCTTCTCCCCATCTTTATGAATGGTCAGCTCCACTCTGGTTGGTGGGGCTGCTCCAGGGAAACGCCCCACCTCTGACGTGCCTCTTACTGCCAACCGCTCACCTGGCATTCTAGGAGACATTTTTGGAAAATGCTACATTAAGTTCAGGAATGACAATGCAGACAGCAGTTATAACTCATAACAGATAACGTGACAACATCATCCTGCTTTAAAGTTATGGGCGTTAACAAAATAATGGGTAGGCTATCTATCAGAATAGCTACCACCTTAACCATTCCTTAATCATCTTGTGATCCGTTAACTTGTGGACCTATTTAGTAGGGTTAGGAACCATTGCACAAGTGTTATCTATCAATGCAAATCGTTTTAGAATTATTCCTCAGGTTTGAAACATTTTTCTGTGAACAGTTTTTATTGGAACCTTTCTCCACAAAAGGAAAACTCATCTTAAGAATACTGCTGACTGCTGACTGCACTGTGTTTTTTCCAGAGTTATGCCTACATTGTTCCTGCAAACAGATGCTGCTGTTGAATCTCTGAACAATTTCATTTCATGATGAGGGCCAAAAACATAATTTCTCTTCATCTCTATTGGGGTGTGAGGATACAATCTCAGAGAGGGAAAAAATAACCAACCTATCTGCAAAAAATATAACGTGAGATAATGTTGAAGGCCATAAGCTCAACATCATAGCACACAAGTCAAAAACACCAATGTTCACACTGTAGAGGTCATTGGCAGTGTACTACAATATGTTCAATACTGCCAAGATTTTGCATTCATAACAACCTGATTAACAGAAAATGTTTCCAGTTCCACTTCTCCCTTTTCTTATATCTCCTCATCATCAAACAGCAAATGTACTATTTCTTTCACTTTTTCCCACAATTACAACATTCCAGAATTGCACTCTGCCCAGTCGCCAGGCTTTCTCAAATCATTCTGGGGAATTCAACCTTTCGTCTTTGTTGGCTACACTCCCTGAGCAATCTAACATCCCTCCTACTAACAGCTGGATTCCATTTGTCTCACCCCAGCTGTGGAATGATGTCATGTATGTGTGTGTCTCTGTGCGTGCACATAGACTGCGGATGTAGGTGTCCAGTACTGTAGATCATATGAACATTTATCACACTGTCACATCCCCTCCTCATACAGTTCTCTAATAATCACAAAGGAATTAGATCATTTGTCACATTGAAAATAAGCCTGTTCTTTCTGCTCTTCCTCAAATTTTAAAATCATGTTCACGTACAGCAAATGTCAACATTATGAAATGTCAACATTGAAAACAAAAGTGAAAACAAAAAGTGTTTACTATGGACGGAGGGGGAGGAGAACTTTCCGTCTGTTCCTTTTTCTCACCATCTGTAACTTGTTATCATAAAAGCCACACAGGGCTATGTCGCTGCAAACAAATATAAAACAGTATGAGGCATACCAATACATATAAGCACTATAGGAGTTTCTTGGGTTCTAGTAAAACCCTCGTAAAATGTAATAGGTTTACAATAATAATGGTGGCCATCTAGCCCTTTAAAATGTATTCAAAAACAAAAGGGGTTGGCATGTCACATAGAGATACACAGAAGCAGAATTATATTTTCTGACTATGGACTGTCATCTTTTGTCTGAAGTAACAGGTTTACAACCCATAGATTGCTAGCTAATTAACGCTAACTGTTACTAAGTAAGAACATTGGTCTTTGGCTTACTTTAAATATCTCTAAACATTTCAGACTTCTATAAAAGGGACTCCAGAATAACTGTTTTATGGTAAATAAGTGTAATTTTTTTTATTGAAAATCAGTTGAAGTCACTCACTACCAGTGTAGCCAGTTTATATGATGACATCTGCAACATTTGATGGTTACTTGTTTGACTTAATTCTAAAAGATTAAAGCTAAAGTTAACATATTTTGGCTGAGAATTAACCTCCAATAATCCAATACAGAGCAGGACAGAGTGGCTAACGTAAACTAAACTCGTAAAAAATGGATCACCTTAGCTCCCACACAGCGGACATTATTTCAGTTCCAAGGGCGTTAACTGTAACCTTAAAAAGTAACCAAGATAGCTATATACTTGACTAGTATGAAGGTAACGCGAGGCTACTATTGTATAAACACTGGACAAGCTAACGTTAGCTGCTTGAGTGGAAGAAGATAAACACATAGCCATTCCAAGTAGGTGGTGGAGCTGTAACTGGTGCTAACCCCTTAGTTAGCATATGTGCAAATATACTTCGCTTTATGCATATGTTTCTCATTATAATGTCAAACTTTAGCATTCAGCTAAAGCTCAAAAGGAGGCACGGGAGATGAAAGGTATCATCTAATGAAAGTTAAAGGTCCCATGTCATGCTTTTCCGGTTGTTACCCGTCCCCTTGTGTGTTATGTAGCTTTTTATGCATGTAAACCAGGGGTCGGCAACCTTTTTGATATGAAGTGCCATTTAAAAAAAAAAATTGTTGTCAGCGTGCCGACGATCGAGAATTATCAACGGGGGGGGGTTGAGGAGCTTGACGCTCGTGAACTATCAGCCGGAGGGCGGGGGGAGCCAAACTTAAACATTTACCACATTTAAATAATTGGTTTAAACGGCATAATAATAAGGACAATCGTCCGTTCTGTGATTCTCCAGAACACACATGTTATGATATTAGGGTCATGCAGAGTGAGATGAGATCGCTGTCCCTTTTAAGAGAGAGAGAGAGAGAGGGGTGTGGCTTGTGCATGTGTGTGTGGATGGCAGAGCGACAGTGAGGGAACGTGTGTATGTTTCTGGAAGTGAAACGAGGCAGCAGAAAAACAGAGGTCTGTGATGTATTTTGTGAAACAGAAGAACAGCTAAATAAATACAACGGCCTCCCAAGAAGAGCTCGCCTCTCTCCAGTCATTTAAGCTAAAGTGGGTTATTGAACCTGAAGCTTGTTGCTTCTGCCCTCCTCGACTACGGTCTGGGAGCCGACAGGAAAATTCAACACACAGATGGCCAGTCCGCCCCTTTGTAGCATATTATTTCGATGAGCAGATCGCCACTGGGCTTTCAATTAAAGACACAGCCACGCAAAAACTGCGGCATTTGTACAGCTCCTTATGGGTAGGCCTACTGCAATTTGTGAAGTGCTTTCCTCTGTGGTGAAACGATCAGCACTGCACCACGGAGGAAAGCGGCAGAAAGTCGCCTGGAGTTAAAGAGAGCGGGGCTGCGTTGCGTGCATGGCTTCCTTCTGCAGGTAGACGCGCTCTGGCGGCGTTCTCGTTCAGGATCCGAAAATACAATTTAAATATTATTGCACACTTATTCCACTTATTCCTAGTGTGCCACTGGTTACGGTGCCACGTGCCTATGCTGGCACGCGTGCCAGGGGTTGCCGACCCCTGATGTAAACGGTCAGCAAAGTCACAAACCCTCAAAGTACACCCTGTAGCGAGTAAAACTCTAACACAGAAAATACCTGTCTATGCTGCCACAGAACGCCTCGTTGGAGATTTTAATTTTTCCATTTTTTTCTTCCTGCGTCGTAGTGACGTAAGGGGCAAAGTGACGTAACGGCTACACGGATTGGTCTAAATGGACCAATCTGCGGACTTCCTCACACACATACACTCACTCAGCCCAGAGTCCTCTGACTCAGCCTTATCTTTTCTCAGCCACAGCCTGAACTCAGCCTGAGACAGCGAGACAACGTGAAACTCAGCCTGAACTCAGCCTGAGCACACACACAAACTCACAGCCAGGCTACCAGTGTGTGTGTGTGTGCTCAGGCTGAGTTTTGTGTTGTCTCGCTGTCTCGCAGACCCACGCAGCAACCAGTAAATGACACCAGCAGTAACCCAGCTCACACTATCCGCTCCTCGCAGCAGCGAACCCCGCAACGTCCCTCCAACAAGGCACTCAGACCCCACGCAGCATTCTCATCTGTTTGTCATTACTGGTGTCATTTTCTGGTTGCTAACTCCATAGTAACACATAATCACTGATGTTCCGCTGTATCGGTGGTGGACTCATCAGAACAGAGTGGGCGAGCTGACCAATCAGAGCACAGTGGGCTCATAGGGAGGGGTTCACTCTGCCGTTTAGGACAGAGAGTGAATGAATAGAATGAATACACATACTATACAGAGATGCTGTATGAGAAACCAATGTGATTTTGGAACATTGAACAATGTAAATCTATTCTAGTAGACCTCAACAATGGAATTATGATCAGTAGAAATGGCCATGTCATCGGACCTTTAAAGCAAGTCTTTTATACAGACAAGCATTGGTTAGAGTCATTTATGAAGCATGGTAACATTTATCTTTAGATTTCTTGTTAAATATTTGCATGGGACAGCCGTATCAGACAGGCTAAGCACACTGGATTTGTAAAAAATGCAGTGATAGTGAAGTTATGTGGTGCAGTTCAAAAGGGCAAACAGCTGAGGGAGTGGTGTTAGGGAGGGGCACCTCACAGCCCCTCAAAATCCATGTGAGAGTGTCTTTGTGTGTGCACCATCTGTGTGTCTGCCAAATATTAAGGTTTGCTTCAGTTTTTTCAGCTCCTGGACTTCCTAAGTTCATCTGCTGGTCAGATAACATTCCCCTCCCTTTAACTGCTTCCAGATCCTCTAAATATTTGGCCAAAAACATTAATAATCATTGTGATAGTCACAATGGATGGAGTAAGCTGTTTGTATTGCAACACGATCTCCACCCAAAACTAAAGTCACGCTCACCGACCCATTCAGTGCTGCCTTTTCTACATCTCTAATATTAGTTTAAAAAAAGGGAACCAACATGTTCATTAAATGAAGTAAGAATAGACAGCACTCTAAACATTTTAGTTAGAAAAGCAATTCATGTAAGTTCATTAAGAACAATTGCATACCTTTTTCTGCAGACAAGGGCTGACTTATGTGCGCTGATATTATTTCCAGGCGGTTTTGTTGGTAATTGTTTTTTTCTCAGGCAAGATGTCTCACTACTGCAACTTAGGAGGACTAGCATTGCCTAATTAAAGTCATCCACTCAACCATCTAATTTTTTTTTTTTTACGGGAACCAACATGTTCATTTAAATGAAGTGAACAAATAAAAAAATTACATGATTCACACACCTGACAATGGCTTACCAAATATTTGCCATGATATAACGCAAAAAATACTGGAAATATTTCTAAATGTAACACCTAAATAAAAATGTTCAGGCTGTTTTGTTAGTAATTTATGTCTTAACATGCTTTAATAAGCAAAGTTATCTCACTACTGCGCCTTAGGTGGCTTGAAATTCACCGATTAGAGTCATCCACTCAGACCTCTAATATAATTTTTTTAAGAAACCTACATGTACATTGAAATGAGGTTAAAAGCATGATAAGATTCAACACATTTTGGTTTTAGAGCAATTCATTTAAGTTCTTCAAAAACAGTGGAGCTTCCATGCCTTTACCTGCACACTCAGACAATAGCTGACTAAATATGTGCGCAGATAAAAATGCAAGATAAAATTACAATAGGGCAAATAAAACTGGAAAACGTTTCAGATTTACCAACTAAGAAAAAGTTTTCAGGCTTTTTCTGTTGTCAATACATGTCTTCACAGGCTTTAAGCCAAGTTATATCACTAATGCACCTTAGGTGGCCTAGCATTGCAATTAGAGTCATCTACCCTCTTAAACCATGCAAATCCATTGCACAAGCCTCATTTTTGGCTGCTCTTCACTCACTCTTTAATGCACAAATTTAAATGGTTTTGTAACACAGCCAAGCTTGAAAACAACAGTTAGTTGTTCATCTTTTCTCCCCTGCCTATTGTGTATCACTTCTCCCATTATGCTGCCTCTCCCTCTGGAGCTTTGCACTGACTCTTCAGTCAGTTTGTGTTGGCATGCCGGCACCTCTGGTATGCCCACTGGGCCCCGAGATAAGCTTTTTAAATTCAAGTCACTGTTTCCAATCAACATCACCAGCCTTAAATGACTGCCCCTGTTTGTCTGGTGATTTTGCTCCCCAATGGTGTAAAATTAATGAATTGACTTTAGATAGAAATGTCACAACACACATCACATGCATAACAAATACATCAATATACGCAATGCACATCCTTCATAGAGAAGAAAAGGGAATCAGCTAGTGAAAACATGAAATACTACAACTAATTAATGTGTTCAATGAAAAATGCTTTAAAGGTCCCATGTCATTCTTTTCCGGTTATTACCCGCCCCTTGTGCGTTATGAAGGTTTTTATGCATGTAAACGGTCTGCAGAGTCACAAACCCTCAAAGTACACCCTGTAGCGAGTAAAACTCTAACACAGGGGGGGAGGAGCTCCAACAAGCCGTTTAGGACAGAGAGTGAATAAACATAGGCTACTAAACAGAGATGCTGTATGAGAAACCAATGTGATTTTGGAAAATTGCACAATATAAATCTATTTTAATATACCTTAACAATGAAATTATGATCAGTAGAAATGGTCATGACATGGGACTTTTAAAAACAACTTATTAGAGATATAAAGGGAAGACTTTTTCTTACTGATGGAAACAAATCAGGGGAACTCGTGTTTTTGTTCAACTAAAGAGCAAGACCATGAGAAAAATTAAGGATGACAAAGTTCAATAAAGATTTACCTTATGGAATAAGACCGGCTTTTAAATTGCTAACATACATGGCTTATCATAGACCTATTATAAGTCTATACTACGTTGTGTTGTGATCTGTTCTTTAAGTGTATATGCTAGATGTGTATTTCTTTCCTTTAGGGATCTTAGCCTACCTTCCCCTCTCTGAAAGAAGAAACCGTTAGGTCATGCGCGCACTGCAACAAGTCACTTCACATAACATCACAGAAATAACGGTTAGAGTGTGACTCCAAATCTTACTTTATCTCCGTGTATTCCTCTTTGGATCAGCGATGCAACGTCAGGTTCGTTCGTATGTCTCAGCGTCAAAGTTTTCAAAAGTTGTTTATTTCCTCTACTCGCTCCGCTCTTGAATCTGAATATTTATATGGCTGTCATGGAATGTGCTTTAAACTGACACACCCCTCTCTTCCTCACATCCAAGCCCACCCCATCCTCTATTTGCTGAAGTTTCCCTATCCCACCACGAGGTCCAGTTGCGTCGACAGGGATATTGGTTCGCTGCGTAAGTGCGCACGTAGAATAGAATACATGATGAGTAATACACACACACACACACACACACACACACACACACACACACACACACACATGAGGAGAGGGAAACTGAAGGAGGGTAGTGTGTTGCGTAATATTCAGCCTTATTTTTCCAATACAGGAAGGGAGTGGAGGCAGTCAGAGGATTGCAAGGGGATAGGCATTTATTGTTAGCTTGAATGTGTTGTGAGTCAAAATGTAATCATTATACAAAGATTTGGTACACAAAGCCCTACACATCTCGAAGTACTGGAGCATTTCAGTTGTATGCTACTTTAGAATTGTTGTACTATAGTTTAAGTTGTATAATATTTTGTCAAACATTGCACTTTTTACTACAAATATTTGATAACTTGAGTTACTTAAATACTATTCGGGTTTTACATTAGTATTTAGTGATTTTTTTGTGACATGCTTACATGCTTTAATGTTCAAAAAGGTATTTATTTTTCTCATCCTGCCTGTGCTACAGCATCTCTTTTCACCCTCTGTCTGAAACCAGAGCCCAGTCTGTTGTGATTGTTTAGCTGGATGGTTCTGTTGTGATTGGTCAACCGCTTAGAGATGTTCCGCCTCTCAGCATATTGCGTTGAATGTGTTGGCGCGCTAGCCAATAGAAGTGCAAGTGCTACATAATGATGTCACTTTGTCGCAGAAGTAAACAAAAAGAGTGCAATGGAAGTGTTTCAGGCGAGTGTGTGCGAGAGAAAATCCTTCTTGAGGGAACTTTGGGATTTGATGCTTTGCAGACCATTTACATGCACTAAAACACTTTAACACACTACAGGGAAAACCCCAAAAAGCATAATGGGACCCCTTTAACCAATTCAACACTATAAAATCATTTTGTAATTCAGTAATAAAACATATAAATCTGAAATTGGCCATTTTGACCAATATGTACTTTTATTTCTGGTACTTTGGGTATATTTTGATTACAATATGTCTGTACTTTTAAGAACTTTTCTTAAATTCTCTGTTACAGAGTATTTCTTTACTCATGTATTGTTAGAACTGAGAACTTCATAAAACATTGCAAAGTAGCGTGTCTGTACATTTCTACCTGTAAAGATTGGAAAGTTGTAATATAATGCCATATAATATAACTTTTTGTAAATTAATGTAAATACATTATATCACCACAAAAAATAAACTGAAACCACAGATTGAATCATGTGGATGATTTGTGGATGAATCCCCTTTTTAGGAAGTCCCCGGTCAATGTTCTTGTGATCTCTAAAACTTTACAGTACCATCCCTTGCAAACGTTTGGTTTCTCTGTGTTCTGAAATACAGTCAATACAGGAAGGGAGTGGTAACAGTCAGTGCAATGCAGGAAGATAAGCATTTAATGTTACTTTAAATTTGATCTGAGTCATAATGTGATCACCACATATCTTCAACCATATACAAAGATTTGGTATAGCCTACCCTGCAAAATGTAGTACTTGTACTTAACTCGAAAAATTCCGTTATATACTTTATACCTTTTCTCTACTAGCTATTTGCTCACTTTAACCAATTTCTATAACTAACACAAAATATAAAAACTAAGATCAAATGCATGGTTAATCTAACCAGGAATATATAAAGTGATTTCAATCAGCCCCACCTTTTTCATCTACAACATTAAAGAAATGTCTCCAAGTATGAAATCATTTTTAATTCAGTGAAATAATGAATACATCTGAAATGGGCCATTAAGCATAATGTGTTCTTTTACTTTTACATCACCAAAATACTGTTTTTAGGATCTTTACTTAAATACTCAATAACAGTAACTCTTTCCTCTTGTACTAAATCTGAGTATGTCATAAACCACTGCATGTAGCTGTGTATTTGTAAATATCTGCCAATAAAGGTCAGTAATGTGTTCTATCCCTGCCATATGATAAACTATTTTGTATATTTAGGCTATACAAATATGATAGTTTCCTAAAAATCAAATCAAAACTAAAGTTGTATTTGTGTCGATGATTCAAGGTTGAACCCCATATTTAGGAAATCTCGTGCCAATGTTCTTGTGATCTCTAAAACTTCACAGGACATGAAACTTCCCCTGCACATGTTTGGTTCTCTTCTGGAAACCTCAGAGGAAAAGCCATTGTGACCTCTTATCCAGTAAAGTTTAAATTTAAACCATACTGTATGCCGAAAAGGAATTTGTGATTGTATTTTTGTGATAACAGTCAAAAGCATTTTCTCAGCAGAATGGCAATGAGACAACATGTAATCATTTCAGTTCTTCAGAAGTGCCAGCAAACCAGTGGATGACTAGACAGTGTGGATGACTAAAGTTTCCATTGCCCTTTTTGTGGTTTGGCAGGAGATCATGATGATGTCAAGCAGTGAATCATATACTGTAGGTAGGAAATGATCATTACAAGAGAAAACCGAAGACACATATCTAAAGCCATCCCCTGTCTTCATGGTAAAATGGTCACATACCAGCTGAGATTTAAAGAAACTCTGTGAGGCTGTAGGTACGCTACTGTATGTTAGGATAACAAGATTTGTGGCACCATGGCTAAACAGCATTTTACACAGACTTCCTGCAGTTTATTATTTGTATAAATGTGAAGTTTAATCAGTTGATCTGTATTATTATTCATTACATATAACAATATATATCTATTAAATATGTTACTTAACATTGCTCATAAAAAAGAAAGTGGTCCCTTTAAGAAATAGTTTAGGAACCACTGCTTAGTGCTTGGCTGCTTGAGTTACAGGTCGTGCATTCATGAAAGTTAATGTCTTGTATAATTTATAGAAACAAGAATTGGTGTTATCTACTACTCTAATAGTATTTCAAATTAAGGAAATCAGTAATTGAGAGCAGTAATGATCCTGAAGCTATTTTTTCAAGTCAATCCATTTGACATTAACAGTAAACAGGGAAGCACAGGTGTGGTTAATCAGAATAATTATGGCTTGATTTCATTCAGGTGTACCAGTTCCTGCCTTTTTTGCATTGTGTATGGTGGCTTACTAGAATGGCTTCCTGGAGCTGGAGCACAGCCATCTTAAAAGTTATTAGTTATACCTGTGCTCTTCCTGCAATGAAAAGTCAAATTGTCTACAATAAATGTGGACAAACACCTTCATAAGGAAAATGTATTAATGTTTCCCCAAGGAATTTTTTTATACATTTTCCACAGTGGTATTTGTAAAAATGACATTTTCTATAAAAATTGCAGTTCACACCCATGCATTAGACTTTTGTCATGACTATTTGTATTTTGAAAAATGCCTACTATTTACCAGTCTTATTGTTCATCTTGGTGCTTTGACACCGGTGTGATTAATGGCACAGACAACTTTTTTCTGCTCCTGCAGAGGAGTGGGCGTGTGAGGAAACACAAAGGTGACCTGGGTTCGCTGACTATCTGAGCATCTGGGTTCTGGCACTTATACTGTACATGGGAAACCAAACAGCAAGTAGCAGGCCAAAGGAAACTTCCTGGCTATGGTAGACATGTTTGGAGAAATGTGTGTTTTGTTTCTAACTTTTTTGTATAGAGAATGGACGAAAAAGTGCCGTTGTTCTTTGTAAGTGGAAATATATGCTCCGCTGCACTGCAAACATAGAGTACAGCAGCCCCTGTGTCAAGGAGCGTCAGTGAGAATATTTCTGGTATCCTATTGACATGTCTCTGTTAAATAATAACCAAGTTCCTCTGACCTTTTCTGAACCTAGCACGATCAAAAAATAGCCGCAACACACACAACTTAATGATCCTTCGTAGAAATGACCAGAAAAAAGGAACAAAGACAATTGAATGTCGATATGGTTGAAAGAATAGTTCACTATTTTTGCTAAACAAACCTTCTTGACAAGAGTTATGAGAAGATCGATGACATTCTCACAAACCAAAGATACCTGTATTGATAAGATATAGCCAGCAGCTGATTAGCGTAGCTTGACAAAAGTATTGGCAGCAGGAGAAAAAAGCTAGATTGTACAAAAATTCATATTAAAAGTACATTCAGGCTTTGTTATAATAGTCTGTGTAACTTGACATGTTACGTGCACAAATTAGATTGATTCTGATAATCTCATCTAATTCTTAGCAAAACTAACAACAAATAAACATAGTTCAACAAGAATAATGAAACCTCTCCCCCTATTTCACAAAAATAAACGAATACATCTTGATAGGCAGCTAAACTACAGGCAGATGAGGATTTGACAACTCTTACATGTGCTGAAGAATTCCTACAAATGTAAGAATTGCTCAATCCTTTAACGGGAAGATGTCATTTCTGTTGTTGATAATGATTCACCAAGGGTTCAGTCTGTGACACCAAGAGCTGTGTGTGTTTTGCGAGGCTGTGATGAAATGTGTCTGCGCACGTCTCCCGGACCCTTAATCAATTGCAGGTCTCATTCACAGTTTGCCGCGCTGGGGCTGATTCATGCTCTGCAGTTGCTCTGGAGATGAACCCACACAGACCAGGCAAACAGAGTCTCTGCTGTTGATCAAATGATTTATATTTTTGCTCTGCCTCTCTGATTTAGACCGCTTCTGCTTTTAAAACAAACACAGAGCATGTCAGGTTTAATTTCTCCTCTGTTTTAAAGGCAGACATGTGTTTTCTGAACACATTTTAGATGACTCATATACCCTGAGATGAGTTAGCATCTTAGCACTTCTGTAGTACCTTGTCTCAAGTCAATAAATATGTTTATTTAGCTTTTGGCTAGATGCCTGAAATAAGGCCTCGTTAACGCTTAAAAGATTTTCATGTTTTATTTCTACAAACTAATATGTGAGTAAATACTCCACTGGTGAATGTCTGAATCTTTAACTTGTCTTAAAAAAGGGGTTTGCTCTTAGTGTTTAAATGAGAATACTAAACGTCATTACTCCCAACATTAGACGCCTTTAGCTTAGCGGTGTAACTTGAAGTTTGTTTGTAC